AAAAAAACAGTGTTTTGTAGTGGATAATTTTCTCTATCAAATAGTATTGTTTTGCTCTTTGTATTTGTTCTTGTTTCTATAGAAATAAATAAGCAGCATTACTTTCAGAACAACCTACGTGTAACTGGTATCTACAATCTCTACTCAGTGGCTGTAATAGTTAATTAAATAATATATGTATATGTACAAGTATCAGAGAAAGAAGAACAAGGCATTAGATATTCTTGTATGTCCTCTACATGCAGTAATTAATGTCTCTGAAGGCAGCAGGATGTACGAATACAAACTGCTGTGAACAAATTTAAAAACTGGACCTTCTCTGCCTTCAGTTCTGATTCATTTGGCTTCTTTTAAAAGCAAGTGAAACAGCAAGTGCAGCAGTCTCACCTTTTCTCTTGAAACAAAGCCAACAAAATATGAAACTGTGTTTTTGAGTGCTTATTTTTGCTCTCTTTTTCTAGCCAATGGCAAGGAGCTCAACAAAAAGGAAATAATCACTTTTAGAAGGCATCACTGAGACAGTGTGTGAAAACTGACTGAGATGAAACGCCCTGCTCCTTTCTCCACACCTGCAACAATGTTCCTCTGTTCAGAGGACTTTGACCAGAGAGCAATGCATTGCAGCAGCACTTCAGCTGCTGCTGCTGAGATAGCATTTTTACATGCAGGATGCCCACGATAGCCATTGAGGTCTTTCACAGTTCTTTTTCTTAAAAGTGGTTATAGTCTTAAATATGGGGAAAGCCTGCTTTGGGGTGTACTATCCAAGTACTTCCTCTTGCATTTTCCCAGATGAAAGTACTACCATCGGTATGACCTGTTCCTGCTCTGTATGCAAGAACCAGGCTTACTTGGTGGATTTAAATAATGCAGGCACCTTAGTGGTTATTGTTAGGCTTATGCTGTTAGTTCATCCAGCCTTACTCATCTGCAGTGTTTCTTCAGTTCTCAAGTACCTTCATTTCTCCTAATGGACCTACTTGAGAAACTCAGCATTATCCAGCCTCAGTAGGACTCTTACAACGTTGCACCAAATCATGACCAATGAGCATCCAGCTAAAATCACCTCACCCTCCTTTGGGTGTTGGTTTGAATAAACAAATGATGATTGCTTCCTAGAAGCTTTTGACAAAGAATATCATCATTAGTGAGGTAACTGCTTAAAAGCAGGTAAGGCAGGACTCCATTCTACCACACCCTGTGTTCTCATGTACCTGGAACTCTTTTAAATCTCCTGCAACCTTTGAAGAGAAGACAAAGGCCCCACTTCAGTAGCTCTGAACCTTCCAGGGAAGGTCCACTAACAAAAATTACTGATGTAAAGCTTATATACTTCAGAGAGAATGTAGGATTTGTTCAGAACCTAGATTAAAAACACATCTGTTATTGTTTATTCATCAGGATTCCCAGCTCTTTGGCATGAGCAATGCAAAAAACCATTTTCTCCTCATTATACACAGCGCTGTCTTATTCTAACACTTACAAGAAGCATTCTTTATTACTAAGAATCATTTAACCATTTAATAACTTAAAAAAAAAAAAAAAAAAAAAGTGTTTTGTTACATCATGGAAAATAACCACTATAAAACTGACTATCCTCAAGATTTTTTTTTCAGGTCCTCACTCATCCATGGATGTGATATGATGTAACCTCAAGTTAAATATCAACCAAACATTTTGCTGTACTACAGGAACACGTTTGGTATAATCAGCAGAATAAAGAAGCAGAAAACCCAATTGGACCCCAGACACTTGCTGATCACTTTTCAAGATATTCTTCCTAAATAACTTTCATAAAATTGTAAAACTATGCTGACAGCATCTGAGCACTGGCTCAATATGGCTAAGCGTTTAATGTGGTCCAAGGTCCAGATCCATCTGACTGTCCATCCAGCTAAGTGGAAACCATTGAGCAGTCTTTGGATTGAGCTAATATTTACAGCATTATTAAGTCAAATTCATTTTGGATAGCACTCTAGCTGAGGGAGGGCTTGACTATACATGCTCCTTTTGCATATGGCTTCAACAAAATTCAAAACTCTGCAGGATTATATTCCAACTACTTTTCAGCCCTAAGACATCTTGAATACTTTGTTTACTACAAATTAAAAAGAAATGTATTATAAATATGTGTATTATTAAAATTGATGATATAAATAACCTGATACTGCTCATCCCTTATGCATAACATGCCTGTAAATGAATTTGCATTTGTTTTGCAGCTCCTTTTACACTTTGTATTCTAGTATTCCTTGATAAGCATTATCTTTTATAGAAAGGAAAAGTAAGCATAAACTGAAAAACTCTCCTCATAATGCCCTTTTCTGTCTTGTTCAATGACCTTTGACCATATAGCTCCTATGTGATCAGACTCAGCAATCATTTAAGAGCTAAATCCTGCAAAGGATGGTCACAGAAATAAGGATTTTACATTAGAGGCTGAAAAGCAATAACCTGGCTATTCATGAACCTAAGATTCACAAAATCAGGTTGATAATGTAATATTTGGAAAATGCAGGTATGACGTGATGGCACTAAGGTTTACATACAATACTTTCATCCATCTGGACAAACACAGTATCATGTTCCAGATCTCATAGATTTAAGATGTCAATAAAACTACAGAGAAAAATCATTTCAGTACCTCTGGTTTATTTTCAAAGTATTTAACACAACACCCACCCTCCAACTTCTTCTTTTAGGAAATGTAAAACCATGATTTGACTTAAGGGAAGTCTGAAGCAGTGCTCAGTACAGAAATATGAATTAACTTTTATTCCTTGGCTTTTATATCCAGTAAGAGAGGCAGAGGAAACGTTTTAACAGTTGAGTGCCTATACATCAAGAGACTGGATAGATTCATTTCCTGTATACACAAAAATTCACTCTTTGAAAGAGTGAAATATCAAGACTTCTGGATACAGAAATGAAGAAGTGATAGGAGGAGCTAGGGAAGGTAAAAACACTGAAAACACTAGAAAACATTGCTCTACATGGCCTTACTCGAAGAGCAAAGGATTCAAAACAATGCCATATCTCACTTGAAGGGTGGAAAGCACAGTGCAGAAGAGAACAAGAATACTAAAATGAAGATAGTGAATCTATTCCACAGGATGAAAATGGAATTTACACAATGTTTTGTTTACTTAAAGAAAAATCTATGTATTTCCTTGAAAAATAGATTAGTCTACTAATATATCTGACAACCCTGAGGAGCTGAGAGGGTGGATTTAATATATGAATAATTTTTTATCTTTGTAATTTAAGAATAAAGCCATTGATTTGCGTACTGCTATACTAATGCAAAGGGGTGAGAATCACAGCACAAGACAGTAAAGCATAAATTCACAAATGTGTAAGTTACTTTAGTAAGACACTTTACTATCTGAATGTTGCTATCTGGATATAGCAACACTTACTAAAAATTAACATGAAAATTAGGATAGTTTCTGCTCATATCTTCACTTTCATAAAAGATCAAATATATTTGAACCATACTTTTTTTTTTTATAATGAGTTTCTCATATAACAAAGCCTCCTTTCATAGTTCAGTACTGTGGAGACAGTAACATAAACTTTCATTTAATGAGATGTTCATAGTTCACATAGGAAGAGCTTCAGCACAGTCCTTGTTAATTTACAAAACAGTACAAACAATTTTGATTAGGGTATACATAGAAACAGTTCTCTGAGTAGACAGAAATTAAAACAGATCTTTAGAACACTTACTGTGGGAAGGGGGAAGGAGTAAGGACAATTCTGATTCTATGCGTTAGGTTGCTTTGGGTTTTCTTTTCTGATAGGAATATGTAAACTTTTTCTGTCATCTGAACTTAACAGTTCTAGAAAACACAAGGGACAATAAATGCCTTTGCTTACATCTCAATTAAAGGATTTCTAGATGGTGTTGTTACATTGACTAAAAAGGTCCAGGTCTTAAATCAGTGCACTTGAGAAGTTCTCATTCATGCCAACAGGATTTTTGCTTGACTGTACCAAACCCTTCCAAAGTTCTCTGATCAGTAACTCTTACAGTATTGATTAAATTAGCGGACAAGTAATATCTAGATTGTTGTAACTATATTTTGTTTTCCCTCACCACTTCTTGTGGTTGGCCTCACACTCAACACCTCTAATATATAAGAAGTAGCCCTACAGATGGGTCTGGTCACACAGCATGATTCTTGTGTAATGTTTTTTAGTGCTATAACTGTGTTACAGTGCAACACATCATGCCAAGAAATGACACAGTGCTTCTAGCTCTGCTATCAGCACGGCTAGTACATAAATTGTTATCAGAGTTACAGTCACCTGTGCAGTTAACACATTTTGCTTTATAAAGAGTAGAAGGTACAAAAATAATAGTAGTGTGGTGGAATAAGGAGAAATCAGCCTTCCTGCAGTGCAACCTGCTGAAGTGGGAATAACATTTACTCTGTACATACACTCCTAGCCCTGTAAGAAAGTGATCTAAGATCACAGAGCTCTACAAGCTGCCTTTGTTTATTTTTGTTTCTTTTATATTTTTAAATCCTTTTTGTTTTCAGTCTTTTTTTTTTTTTTTTTTTTTTCTCCTTTTTCTTTACTTTGCTTTTACCTGGAAGTTTCTTTTTCCTTTTCTTTTTCCTTTTTCTTTTATTTTCTTCTGCTATTTTCTTTTTTTTTTTTTTTTTTTTTTTTTTTCTCCTCTTTATTTTTCTTTCCTTTCTTTTTCCTCTTCTTCTCTTATTTCATTTCACTTTTCCTTTCCGTACCTGAGAAAGCTCCCTTCCCCCTCCCCCCTCCTCCCTTCCCCCCCAGCCTCTCTCCCCTGCCTCCCCCGAGCAGCACGCAGTCCCCCCAGCCCCCTCAGCGCCGCCGTGAGCCGCCGGCCGGGTTGCCCCGTTGGCCATGCGGGGGCGCCGCGTCGCAGACGCGCCTCTTCTCTAAGCATTACGGTAGGAGGGCCGGGGCGCGCCTCTTCCACCTGCCAGCGGGCTTTAAAGTTGCAGCCGGCCAGGACGCGCGATGATTCGGATCCCGCAGCCCGGGGCGGGCGGGCAGCCGCCAGGGCGTAGCGCGGTTCCGCTGCGGGAGCGGGGACGGGGCGCGTCCCACCCCGTAACTTCGGGGGAGGTTTTTCCCCTCGCTCCCCCTCGCTAGATTTTTTGGTGGCAAAAGAGGGCCGGGGGCAGGAGGGGGGGGCGTTGCGCCGGGGGGAGCCTCATGTCTGCGGCAGGTCACCCGCGCGGCTCGGGCGCCGGCCCCGGCGCTGCCGCGGATTACCGCGCCTCCTCGCCCGTGGAGCGGCCGGGTGGCCGCGGGTAGCGCTAACGCCGTCTGGCGCCGCAGCCCCTCCGAGGCGAGCCATGGAGCCCGGCGCGACCCCCGACCTCCGCGACGTCGAGCAGAAGCTGGGGCGCAAAGTGCCCGAGAGCCTGGCGCGGCCGCTGCGCGGGGAGGAGCACCCGGGCCGCGCAGCCGCCGCCGCCGAGCCTGCTCGCGGCCCCGCTGCGGCCCCCGGCCGGCGCCGCGCCGCCGCCCTCGCGCGTCTGGAGACCAAACTTCGCCTCCTGAGGCAGGAGATGGTGAGTAGCCGGGCGCCGAGGGAGCTCCGAGGAGGCGCTCGCAGCGCTACGCACGGCGGCGCCCCCCAGGCCCCGCTCTCCTGGGCCGGCCCGCTCGGCGCGGGCAGCGCCCCCGTACTGCGGGCGGGAGCGCCAGGAGCGGCTGCGCGGCGCCCCGAGCCCTGACCTCGCCGTGGCCCGGTGCGGCCGGGGGACAGCGGGGAGACCGCCTGCGTGTGAGGCGGCTGAGCTGGCCGGCCCGAGGGCGAGAGGTTCTGCAGGCTTCTTGCAGAGTGACAGCTGGATGGGTCGCTGCCACCTGCCCTTCTTCTGACGTCTAGTTAAAAGCCCTGAATGTTGGTGTATCAATAAACAAAATAACACCTTCATCTCGCTGTTCTAAATGTATTCTCTACATCGCAGCTCTTTCCTGGTGACTTCTCGTATCTGAAGAGACTCTGGAGGTCATGGAATTGGAAGCTCAGATATTCCAGTTCTGGGCAGTGTTTTTCAGAGGTTTATTTAGTTCCAGACAGTAATCCTTCATCAAATGCCTATTTGTAACATGACTGGGAAATTTATTTGTGGCTACTTATTTCAGAACTTCTCGCGTACTTACTGTCTTAAAACAGAAGCTTACCTGCCTCTTTAAGAAAATTTTCAGCAGTGCCACAAAACTGCCTTGTTAAGGCAAAACAAAAGGAACCACTGCACTCTTTGCGAGCAAAAAAGCAAGTCAGCAAATACTGAGTTGTTAGCGGGTACTATTCTGACAGTAGGGAGTTCTACACACTCGAGCCCATTCTGCTTTGTTTTGGGTTTTTTATTTTTTATTTTTCAGATAACAATCATTATTTGAGATCTCCAACAACTTTTTTAGGTAGTGGTTCTTCTCATGGTTCTTACCGCATTGCTTACTTGATCAAGATCTGTACAATTTCCTTGTTGGGATGAAGATTTTGCTGGCAACTTACTGAGGTGACTTGATGCAAACACTAAATGTGTAAGCACAATGCTGGTGAAGGAAGGAGAGTTTTTAAAGAATAACTGGCAAAGAGGAAAGAGAAATCAAGAGTGGATATCCCAGGTGTTAATAGCCAAGATTGTGACCTCAATCTTGAGTCACTTATATCCCACTTAGTGTCTTGTGGCTTCATAGGTTTTAAGAAATGCTTGCAGAGCTATCATTGCATTTTAGTGCAACAATCACTGTAAATTTGTTGTTAACACAGTTCAAACACTGTCAGCATCCTTCTTGTCAATTATCAAAATTTTTAACTTGCATCAGGGTTTAGAGTGTGTATAGGTTATAGTGTAAAACTCTTAGGGGAATTGAGCTGCAAAGGAAGCAAATAAGGCAGTCAGTTTTCAGCGTGACTGCTGAGACCTGTAATGACAGGCGTATTAAGGGATAAAAATCAAGTGACTTGAGTTCATTGTGTTTTCCTTATAAGTTGATCTCTTCTTCTACGTTACATGTGAAGTTTCATGCCACAATGTTCAATTTGCTGATTTTCTGTTTTTCACCTTTTTCTCTCAGCTCTCAGAGTGAAGTGAACATGTTTTAGACTCAGCATCCTTGACCTCTCCTGTTTTAATGTCTGACTTACTGTTTTTTGCATGTAAACAGGGAAGTGTCCAGGTAGATTTTTACTATCTCCTGAGGAGACTCCCCGACCTCTCTGGGCAAGTTAATGCAGTGCTCTGTCATCCTCAAAGTATAGAATTTTTTCTCCTGCTTGTATGCAACGTCTGTGTTCCAGTTCGTTTCCATTGCCCCTTATTCTGTTGCTGCACACTGCAGAAATGAGCACAGTCCCATCCACTTGACTTCTTCCTTTTAGATATTCATCAGCATTGATAAGATCTCCCCATTTCTTCATAAAGAAGATGCTCCAGGCCCCTAGTAATCTCAGTAGCACTGTGCTGGAAACTCCCTAGAAGTTCCCAGAACTGAGCAGAATACTCCAAGCCTCACCAATGCTCCAACGCTCGTTTGACCTCACCAGGACAGAGAGGAGGGGAAGGACCATATTCCTCGACCAGCTAGCCACGCTCATTTTTATGCATTATAGAATACCATTGGCTTTCTTGACCACAAGGGCAGACTGCCGGCTCACGGCCAACCTGTTGTCCACCAGAACACCTATGTCCTTTGCCACAGAGCTCTGTTCCAGCAGGTCATCCCTAACCAGTACTGACACATGTGCTTATTCCTCCACAGGTGCATAGCTCTGCACTTACCCGTGTTGAATCTTATAAGGTTCCTCTCTGCCCAACTTTCTAGTCTATCCAGACTTCACTGAAAGGCAGCACATCCTTCTGGTGCCTCAGACACTTCTCCCAGCTTTGTGTCATCTGCAAACTTGCTGAGCGTGTGCTCTTTCCGTTCATCCAGGCCACTGATGATGTTTCAGTACTAACTCCTGGGGAATTGCTAGCTACAGCCTTCAACTAGACTATGCCCGCTAATCACAACCCTCCAAGCTCTTCCAGTCAGCCAGTTCTCAACCCACTGTTCTCAATCCAGAATCCACAATCACTGTTCACTTGTCTATCCCACACTTCTTAAACTTTCCTATGAGGAAGTTACGGGTGAAGTGTCAAAGGCCTTGCTAAAGCAAGGTAGCCAACATCCACTGCTCTTTCCTCATCTATCCAGCTTGTCATGGCATCATAGTAGGCTACCAGGTTGATCAACAATGATTTCCCTTTGGTGAATCCATGTTGGCTACTCCCGATAACCTTCTTCTCTTCCATTTGCTTGATGATGACATCCAAAATAAGCTGTTACATCATCTTCCCAGAGGTGGAGGCGTAGCTGATAGGGCTGTACTTTCCTGTCCTCTCCTTCTTGCTCTTTTTCAGGACTGTAGTGACATTGGCTTCCCTTCAGGTCTCAGACACTTCTCCCACTCTGCATGACCTTTCAAAGATGATAATGAGTGGTCACTTCAGCACTTGTGTGCATCTCATTGAGGCCCATGGATTTGTGCAGCAAGTTTACCTAGATGGTCTCTGACAGATCCTCCTCAACTGGTGGGAAATCTTCTTTTCTCATCGAGGAATATGGTCCTCCCCCTCCTCTCTGTCCTGGTGAGGTCAGATGAGCGTTGGAGTATTGGTGAGGCTTGGAGTATCCTGCTCAGTTCTGGGAACTTCTAGGGAGTTTCCAGCACAGTGCTACTGAGATTACTAGGGGCCTGGAGCATCTTCTTTATGAAGAAATGGGGAGATCTTATCAAGTCTTCTTTTATTCTTCTCTCTCCTACCTGCAGTATCTAGAATTGCTGAGGGGCAGCGTTAGCACTGAAGACTGAATCAAAGAAGGCATTCAGTAATTCTGACTTCCCAGTGTCCTCCACTACCAGGGCACTCAACTCATTCAGCAGTGAACGTACATTTTCCCTAGCCTTCCTTTTGCTACTGACATACTTGAAGAAGTCTTTCTTGTTTTCCTCAACGTCCCTCATCAGATTTAATTCCAAGTGGGAAGGCCTTAGCCTTCCTTGTGTCACTGTGTATTCCTGCATGCTCGGATAGTGTTCATCTATTCCTCTCATGTAGCCAGACCCTTTTATCACATTCAGTAGACTTTCTTCTTCCATTTGAGTTTTCCCATGAGCTTCTTTACTCATTGATGCAGGTCTTTTGCCACCTTCACTTGATTCACTTAGAGATGCACCAGTTTTGAATTTGGAGGAAGTGGTGCTTGGATGTCAACCAAATCTCTTGAGTCCCCTTCCAATGCTCTAACCCATGAGATACTTCCAAGTAGGTCCTTGAAGAAGTCAGAGTTGGCTCTCCTGAAATCCAAGGTTTCAATCTTACTTATTGCCTTATTTCTTAAATCAAAAGAATTCTGTTACACATCTCTCCATTTGAATTTTATTCTGTGTATGCCCATTAAGCTTTATAATGACTATTCTTTCTATCAGGTAAGGTATAGATACTCTAAATATTTTTTGTGTCATCATCTGTTTTCTGTAATCCAGAATTTGGAATTGAACTATTTTCTTGTGGCTATCCTCTAGTTTCTTTAGTAACGTATTCTCCTCTATCTGTAGGATTTCTTCAGGTTCATAACCTGAACCTGGGTACCTTCTGGGTTTTTCTTGTGACTTTGTAAAGGCATGATCAATTTAAAAGCAATATATGGTAAAAATAACTGTTTCTGTATCTGTTTCTTTTCTTCTGAACATCATTTCCGAAACAACTAGAAGTACTATCTATCTTCTCAGTATTTCTTGTCAAAACCTACTATATTATTCTTTGGCTCTCATGAGTACCTGAGAGGCCTTGAATGGGTAGAAAACTAGGTAGTATCTGCTGCAGTAGTAAGCATGCAAAAAACTGAAAAAATTAGAAGCTGAGAAAATCAAGAGACATCTATCATGCTACCTTTTCATAGTTGCTCTGTAGTATCTGCTTCTGCAGCACAGATTTTTCAGATATATACATGCACGGTTTATTCTGCTTACTTGACTCAGGCTTTAGACAATTTTTTTTAATAGGCATTTGCTAACCAGTGTTTTTCAGATTTGTTCATATTCTTACTCATGTTTAAGATTATTTGTATAGTCACATGGAAAACTTGAGATTAACTGGTGTGCTGACATCTTCATCTTTAACGTTGGCCAATCTATGTTGACAAATTTCAACAACATCTGAGAAACAAAGCAATTTTATAATCAGCACATGAGTAAAATTTGATCTTTTATTGCATTTAAATGCATGATGATTCCAAAGCTTTTCATTGTGCTAAGAATGTATTTTATTGTTAGCTATTTTTTATCATCTCATTTCTACCCAGAGCATCCACAAAGTACCTGTGTTTTCTACAGGTACTCTATTGTTTGTCCCCTGACAGTAAAGAACAAGGAAAACACACCTGAACCTGGTTGTGATGCTTAGGAGTGGACTTTAAGGCTAATCTCTGGACGTATGTATCTTTTCAGTGGCCAGTGTAAATTCATCTGTACAGACATGGAAATAGGTGTGACTTCTCCTCATTTTAAAAT